GTTTTTCCTGCAGATGAACAGAGTTCAGCAAAACAGCTCAGGGCAGGACACCTCTGCAAGCAGTTGTCTGCACTCTGCTGCCCCATTTAGTGCAGTTCCACCCTCCCCCAGCAGCACATTCTTTCCTCTTGCCTTCTGTACCTGTTCTAACCAGAGCTGGAGGGTCACAGTGTGTTAGCTTACAGCTCTGGGAAACTCCTTGTCCACAGATAAACTGGGAATACACAGGAACTCCAAACACCCAGTGACAGGCCACGAGCAAGGCTCACTTTTTGTGACTGTAAAATCAAAAGGACATTCATCTCTCAAGGATATTTGACAGATAAAAGCCAGGCACCTCTATTAAGAATCACATTCTTTAAAATGCAAGTACACAAATCCAATGGGATACCAGGAGTGGAGCTAAATGGTTTTCTAGCATCACATCAGAGAATTTCAAATTAAAACTGTCCTTAGATGAGAAGTGGTCCATGACCACCTGAGGGCACTTACTTTGCTTCAGGTCCCAGGATGGCTGCCATCAGTTTTGGTTGCTTGCAAGCAAGGTGGGTGCACTGGGCTACTGTCCCACAGCTGAAGGGAAAGCATTTCCTTGTTGGAAGCCAAGCCCAGGCTCACCTCCTCTCCAGACACCAGTTGCAGGTTCCCAGCTGGAAACAGCCACTCAGCAGTGACCTGGGACATCTCATGGCACCAAGGGTGTTCTCACACTTTCAACTGCTTCTCCAAAGGCAGTGTAGCCAAAACACCCTGCAACTCAAGCCTTCCAAAATAGTCACTGCCAGGATGAAACCCAGCAGTGAGGCATTGGTGCTGCAGAGAAAAAAAAAAAGGCAACCATGCCCAGAATTTAAGTTACCCCATGACCTTGTGTTCATCAGGAGCAAACACCTCAGTTCAATGGCCCGTTCTTAAGTTCCCTGCAGTACTGACTCATTGGTTATGGGTCCATTAGTCACAAATCTGAGCTTCAGCTGCCCCTCACACCTCAAGCCTGACCTGCAGAGCACATGGCTCAGTCTGAGCTTGTCTCCTCACCAGCTCACTCCTTCCTGAGCTGCACAAACCAGTGGTGGTTTAAGTTCCCTCCAGCCCGTTTGCCTCACACTTCCTTAACTTCAGCTGCTTCCTTAAGACCCAGAAAAAAGAACATTACAGCAACCATTTCTTTTAAAAAAGAGAACATAATTTTATTAGAAGTCTCATGACTCACAGGAGTTTTTGGAAGAGCACAGGGGCCATACTTCAGGCCCCCAGAGCCAGCCCAGC